TTGAGTAATTTGTCTAAAGATCTCGGTTAATGTTGATTATAAATGTTAATAATTTCATCTGTACTTTGAATAGAATCAACCTGTTTCATGATGTCTTTCCGTTTTATATATTAGAGACACCAAATTCACTTTTGAAAAATTTGCTGTCTGTCTGAATGTCCACATTGTCCGACGAAATTTTGTCAGTGGTAAGTTCGGCAATGCCTAATGGTAGATTTTTGACATTATATTTAGGTCTGCTTGACTTAAAATATATGCTTTAAATGAAAACAAAATATTGCGTAGAACCAAAGTTATGAATTCTTGAGTATTTTGTTTAGAGATCCCGATTAGGCAGTTACTTACTTCGATTCCTGTCCCAAACTAATCTATCGCGAGCCACATTTAAAATTTGTACTACTCAACAAATGGAAAAAAATATCACAACTCAACGGGAAAAATCCGGAATACCGAACATGTGTAATGCGTTGTCGCATAAAACACACTCATTTTTCAACTTTGTCCGATCTTCCAGTTCAATGTGTCATTCGATTCAGCTGTCCTAGCCTAACAAATGTTGTCGTATACATTTTTAGGATTGACCAACTGGATTAGCAGGAAATCAGGAAAACCGACGGGTACATCAGCTAGTAAGATATAAAATAGGTGTACCTTGAGTCACTTTTTTTCAATGCTCCATAACAAATAATAATGATTTTTCAAAGTGAAAGATAAAATTTTATTTCTCATGCTTTGAAGATACTATGTTAGTTTTTAAATTATTTTATCACCAGATTTTGACTAAGAAAAAAAATCATTTTTTAAAATAATATAACAGGCCCAATCTACAATTACTATATTTGTACCTCAGGCAACTACTTATATCTTGGGCAATATTTGTTGTAATATGAATTATAATTATTATTCAATAATAAGTATCACTTATCTACCTAGTTCTGCCTTAAATAATATTACAAAAGTCAACTTTGTTTACATCTTTGGGTATTATTTAGATAATCCTTACTTCTATCAGATTATTTTCTTTGCATGTCAGGATAATAATCCCAATTAGTATGTATTTTTCTTTCGCTCAGTTAACATGGAGTGGAATGATCAAGAAAACCGAATAGATGTGATTTCTTTACACAAAGTTGGAAAATGTAGGTCAAAGATTTGCAACACTTGAATCCTTTGGGTATCAGTCGTATGTTCGTGTACCGCACTGTAAATAGATATAATAACATCCTATTTGTATGTGAAAGATCTCGACCGCACTGTGAGAACGGCAAATGCAGCGAGAGCAGTGGCTGCTCGAACAGAAGAAATCCCATTCGAAAACAACAAATCATGTCTCGGGAAATGGGAATCTCTGTCAGATCAATGTCTCTCATAATAGGAAATGACCTTAGGATGGCTGCATATCGAAGAATGACAGGACAAAGGCTAACCAATTTCCTAAAAAAAAAATAGAGCGGATAGATGCAAAGTGCTACTTGCCCGTTACACCAATGGTCTTCATCGAAAGGTTTTGTTTAGCGATGAGAAAATTTTTACAATCGAAGAAAAATTTAATCGCCGAAATGTGCGTGTGTACACAACTATAAAGAAGCTGAGAAAGTGATTGGAAGAATGGAAAGAGGCCATCACCCTTCCTCAGCGATGGTTCGTTGGGGAATTTGCTTTGATGGCACCACAAATCTTCATTTTTGTGCAAAAGAAGTTAAAACAGCTGCTAAATACTATCAGGACGATATTTTTGAGCCTGTTGTCAAGCCTTTAAATGATACTCTGTTTGCTGGAAGTCATCGGGTTTTCCAGCAGGATTCCGCTCCTGCTCACAAGTTCAAGTCAACTTAGCAGTGCCTGCAAAAGAACATTCCAGAGTTCATCTCTGCCTCGGATTGGTCCTCAGGAAGCCCTGATCTCAAGCCACTAGTTTATCGGCTTTGGTCCTAAGTGGAGAGGATGGCATGCCACAAAACACACCCTAACTTGGAAAGCCTCAAACAATCTCTGGTTTGAGCAGTTGAGCGCTTTCCTCAACACGTAGTGCTGCGTGCTGCTATTGATGACTGGCCACAGAGATTAAATACCTGTATCAAGGCAAAAGGGGGCATTTTGAGTAATTTCTTTTTTGTTTTACATTCTATAGATATACATTTTATTTTCTAATAAAGTTTTTAAAAAAAATTAATTTTCTTTTTGAAATCTGTATATATTTCTTTGTAACAATATTTATGACAGGATTAGGTACACTGTTAAGCTAACTTTTTCATGTCATGAAAGCCCACAATATATTACGGTTGCAGTCAGTAAATAATCTTTTATGAACTTCTTCCATAATAATCATGAATCAAGGATTTATTCTTACAAGAGACATATTTTGAATTTATATTAATGTACCTTGGGCCAGCTCAAGCCATGCATTTCCGAACTCTAATGCATCTGGATGAACATCGCAAATATTTTTGGTGGCAACTGTTGTGTTACTACCCTTCCGAAACTAAAAAAGCAAGCATTGCCGGATGTGTACCTGTTCTGGTATTTGGCTAGCCTTTTTACCAAAAATTGCAGAAAAAAAAAATAATTATTTGCAACAATGTGGCTAAAGCGCTCTCGATCATACTCCACTGGCTTTAGCACCAGTGAGGCGGTTGAGAGAGTAGCGCAGGGATTTAGGTACCCTGCCTGATTGTATATATTTTATATAGTTATGACTGTGTTTTTAATTTACTTATATTTAGGTTTTTTATTTTTTTTATTGTACATAGTTTTTATTTAGTTATTACTTTACTTTTGTTAATTTTATATTTTTTGTATATATGGTGCGAATGTGTTCATTTATATAATTATTGTCCTCGAGACAGAATATTATATGTCTAAAAAAATAAATATTAAAAAAAAAATTATTTGCAACTAAAAAAGTCACTATAATCTTAAAACATCTTTGCCACGTATTAAATGTAAACAATGAGCTTCCAAATAACAAATAGTGACATGCTCAGAAGCAACATTACTTTCCGTTCCCCTTAATATTTATAAAAGAAATCGGGACCATTGCCGCTTCAACCATCGAGGAGGATTGTAGGGATGGGTGCAGCTTGATAGGGGTTGTGCAAGTGGATTTGGTTGATGAACAAGTTCCTGGAAAAATTTGGAAAACTTTTCAGGGATTACATCAAGAATAGATGTGATATTAAGCTCATTATGCAAGGTTTTGTTGTGTTGCTCACATCGACTGTTGTTGGGGAGACTTTAGACTGATAGGATTGGATGCCTTTTATGTTAGAAAATATAGCTGTACCCCGTAGTTCTAGTCCGTAGGTCCAGATAGGTTTCAGGAAACAATCTACCTAAGGTGGTTAGGTATTTAAGTCGTTTATTTCCAAAGTTAATCCTAATAATTATTAACAATTTACCAGGAAACCAGAAAACATATATTTTATATGCCAATATCAAAACTATTTTTTTTTTTTATTATAAATAAAATATTTTAAAAAAATATAGAAGAAATTCTTTATTTATGGGAAATATTTTCGAAAATCACTGATTATTCTATTAGTAATTTAAAAAAATCCATTTAAATTTGAATAGGCTTCCTTTAGGAAAGAGAAAATTTCAAGATCCGTTTTTTAACAAAAAAAAGTTTATGGGTTTGTTTTGAAGAGAAAAAATGGTGTTAGATTCGTGAGGAAAAAAAATATTAAAAATGTAATTAAAAAATGTGTATGTTTATTGTTTACAATAAAGCGGCTAAATTAGCTTTTGATGATTTTTTTTTTATATTGGTATTTAAGAAATACCAGTTTCTTCATTACATTTTTTCATGGGAATCGATACATATCCCAATTTCTATAAAAATACCTTAGTGTTAAATTTGGAAATAAGCGACTCACATATCAATACATTCGTTCCCTTCAGAATTCTTGTCACGAATTTCTGATTTTTTTATTGATGTTTCGACCCAAATATGTGCATCATCCTGAGGGCTATCATTTGGAAGTCTAGACAAGACGTTCTTTCTCTGAGGATGACACACATGTTTAGGTCAAAACGTCGGCTAACCCAATAAATATATCTTGACTAAAATTCCAGACAATTTTATTCCATACTTATATTTGATAAGTCGACTACTTACCCAATTAATTTCTTTCCTACAATTTTAATTGTTTTTCTTTTTGTAATTAAATTATCGTTAATATTTTCTGTTAAAATATATATTACCCTATTAAATGTAGCAGATTATGAAGTTTGCGTATTCTACGCGATCGTGCATGGGAATACGTACTTACTTTTTACATGGAAATCTATATTTATTTTAATTATCATAAAAATATATTATGGTTCACTTTGGAAATAAGGGACTCAGATATAAATAAATTCTCTTAGAATAGGATTTGTTTATTTTTCTCGTAGAATTTTTAAAAAATATTGCAACTATTTTTTTTTTTTTTTCGTTTTTCTTCGTTCATAATTAAATTATTTTTAATATTAAAACATATTCAACCCTATTAGATATATCGGAGTGGGCGGACTCAACTCGACCGTTGTAGAATCGATTTATCCCGACAGGTCTCGGAGAACTCCGAGCTGACTCGGATAAAATATTAAATTATCGTTAATATTTTCTGTTAAAATATATATTACCCTATTAAATGTAGCAGATTATGAAGTTTGCGTATTCTACGCGATCGTGCATGGGAATACGTACTTACTTTTTACATGGAAATCTATATTTATTTTAATTATCATAAAAATATATTATGGTTCACTTTGAAAATAAGGGACTCAGATATAAATAAATTCTCTTAGAATAGGATTTGTTTATTTTTCTCGTAGAATTTTTAAAAAATATTTTAACTAATTTTTTTTTCGTTTTTCTTCGTTCATAATTAAATTATTTTTAATATTAAAACATATTCAACCCTATTAGATATATCGGAGTGGGCGGACTCAACTCGACCGTTGTAGAATCGATTTATCCCGACAGGTCTCGGAGAACTCCGAGCTGACTCAGTGAGCGCTCGTCCACCGAACGGGTAGCATGTCCTATCTCTGCTTAGTGTCCATATAGCCATGACAGGCCACGCGTCGAATTCCTCTCCGGCGTGCCCGCACAAGCAGCGCGTAGAGAACCATCAAGGTAAATAATAATATATATATATATATATATATCTACATTGTATTAGGGATATATTCCTCTCGAAGGATTAATAAAGAATTGAAAAAAAAAAAATATCTTTTGGCAGTTTAACATATACTTCAAAAAGAGTAACGGACAATAAAACTTATTATTATTGTTATTACTATATACCTATTGGACAGGTGAAAAGGCAAGCTTATTGCTACAAAAGTCATATGTAAAAACATACAGTAATTTTTTTTTTAAATAAAAGTTTGTCCCTAAAATGCGAGTGAGATAAAAAAAATTTATCTTGGGAGCTATGACATTGATGTGTGTTTATATCTTGTTAGGGATCTATGCTTCTCTAAGTATTAAATTAAATAAAAAAATTAAAAACAACTTATCCTTTGGTATTTCATGGTAGTCCTTAGATTTCATACGATAATATTAATAATTCCTAATGTATGTACTAATTTGACTGGAGAAAAGCCAGGTTTATTATTACATAAGTCATATATAAAAACAGACAGTAATTTTTTTTACATGTTTATCCTTAGAATGATCCTTTATATTAGTGCAATAAAAAATAAATCTTTTTTTTTTTATTAATGAAAGTGTGGCGTTAGAATGCGAGTGAAATAAAAATATTTTCAGAGCTCTCACATCGATGTGTGTTTATATCTCGTTAGGGATATATACTTCTCTAAGTATTAAATAAACAAAAAGAAAATAATAATAAAATAAAAACTCAATATCGTTTGACATTTTAAGGTAGTCGTTTGATATCATACAATGAAATTAATAATTGCTAATGTATGTACCAATTTGACAGTAGAAAAAGGCAGGTTTATTGTTTACAAAAGTAATATCTAGAAACAGGCAATAATCTTTTTTCTTTTTCTTTTTAAAATAGAAGTTTGTCCTTAGAATGACATAGAACTAAAAAAAAATCTTAATTTTTTGATGATAAAACTGTGTCCATAGAATGCGAGTGAAATAAAAAAATATGAATATATATATATTTATTTATTTTCAGAGCTCTCGTATTCATGTGTGTTTGTATCTCGTTAGGAAATGTAATTCGCTAAGTATTAAATAAACAAAAAATAAATAAAATAAAAACTCAACTTATAGTTTAAATTGAAGTATCGTTTGGAGAATGAATCGTTTGATATCATACAATTAAATTAATAATTCCTAATGTATGTACCAATTTGACAGTGGAAAAGGCAGGTTTATTGTTACAAAAGTCATATATAAAACAGACTGTATTTTTTTTTAAATAAAAGTTTTTCCTTAGAATGATAACACAATAAAAAATAAATTCTTTTGTTTTTTATTAATGAAAGTGTGCCGTTAGAATGCTCGTGAAATAAAAAAATATATATATTCTTGAGAGCTCTCACATTCATGTATGTTTGTATCTCGTTAGGATATGTAATTCGCTAAGTATTAAATTAAACAAAAAAAAAAAAAAAAATGAAAATAATAACAAAATAAAAACTCAACTTATCCTTTGACATTTGAAGGTAGTCGTTGGATATCATACAATAAAATTAATAATTGCTAATGTGTGTACCAATTTGACAGTGGTAAAGACTGGTTTATTGTTTACAAAAGTCATATCTAGAAACAGGCAGTAATCTTTTTTTTAATAAAAGTTTGTCTTTAGAATGCTAGCGAAATAAAAAAAAAAATCTTAATTTTTTGATGATAAAACTGTGTCCATAGAATGCGAGTGAAATAAAAAAATATGAATATATATATTTATTTATTTTCAGAGCTCTCATATTCATGTGTGTTTGTATCTCGTTAGGGATATATACTTCTCTAAGTATTAAATAAACAAAAACATAAATAAAATAAAAACTCAACTTATACTTTGAGATTTGAAGGTAGTCGTTGGATATCATGCAATAAAATTAATAATTGCTAATGTATGTACCAATTTGACAGTGGTAAAGACTGATTCATTGTTTACAAAAGTCATATCTAGAAACAGGCAGTAATATTTTTCTTTTTTAAATAAAAGTTTGTCCTTAGAATGGTACAGAAATAAAAAATAAATCTTAATTTCCTTAACGATAAAAGTGTCTCCATAGAATGCGAGTGCGATTATAAAATAAATATATTATTCTTTGGAGCTCTCACATTGATGTGTGTTTATATCTCGTTTGGGATCTATCCTTTTCGAAGTATTAATTGAAAAAAAAAAACAATTATAGGAAATGATAATAAAATAAGAAATCAACTTCATCATTATTTGGCATTTCAGGGTAGTCGTAGGATATCATACCATAAAACTCACGATTCGGTATGTATGTACCTATTTGACTGGTGAAAAGAGAGGCTTATTTTTACAAAAATGTATCTTAAAAATGTAGGAAATTTATATTAATTTAATTTTTTTTTTTAAATAAACGTGTATCCTCAGAATGTGAATGAAATTTGTAAAAAATTCAAATTTAATTTTTTTTATTTTTTTAAAAATGTGTCTTTAGGTCATCAATAATAGTAGTTATATCAATGATTTTTTTTTTTTTAGATTGAAGTTGTTTATTAACACTTTCTATTATTTTTCTTTTAATTAACACTTCTTTCTTGGTCATCTAAAAACAACAATCGTGCCTTCGAAACCGAACCATCACAAAGATAAATTATCTGTTATTTTGGTTATTATATTATTTTATTTTTTGGTTAGGTAGGCAACACTTAAAACATTAAAAAAAATTACAAAACTGAAACTTTATTTATTTATATTAAACGCTTTATTTATCAGAGTTTAGATATATATTTTTAAATTTTTATTTAGCTTATTTATTGATTCTTAAAAAAAATATTCAAACAGATTTTCTATAATGATTTTAAGAAATTATTTATTATTCAAAAGTATATATATCTTTTATGTAGGTTCTTGAAAACAAATATCTATCCTACCTGAATCTACACTGAACCAATATAAACTTAATATGTTTAGTCCTCTGTACTATTTAAAAAATAATAATAGAAAATATTTATTTTTTTAAACTATTAAAATGTTTAACATGCCTAAATTTGATTATGATCTTTTAATATATTTTTTCGAATATGTTCTTGGAATATGTTCATTGAATATGTTCTTAGAATATGAGGGAGATTTAAAAAAATATATTTAAATATATTTTTTTCTCCATGGGAACAAGGAAACAGCTGTCCGTACAACCGAACCTTGGCTGTTTGATGATTTTAAATCTAATATGTATAATAATATTAAAAGGAATTACAGCGTTTCTCTCTTGAAATTCAATAAAAACATTTTATAAATATCAATATTTTTATTGCAGTGTAAATATATTTCTTAATTTTGAAATTGAGGTTGTTTATTAGTTTTTCAACTTAATTTTCCCATCTTTTAAAAGTTTAAAAGTTCCCATCTGTGAAAATAATTAATGCAATCGAAATTGGGCCATAACAAAGATAAGAGATAAAATGTCTATTATACTCGCAATATCCTATATATTTTTTTTCTATTGCCATTGTAGATGTTTTCCGCCCTCTCTATCTTTGCCTGCCTTGGGCTATTTCTTTCCATTCATCTGCACGCAGCTCTGTTGCGTCTTTGGTGATTCTATCTATCCATCTGCTTTTTGGCCTTCCACGTGGCCTTTGACTGCTATTAAAGCCTTCATTGTTACGTAGAGGTTTCCAGATGGATTGATACGAGCTACCTCTCGCCCATCTTAACCTCCGTGCCTTCGTACCAAGGGATATTGATTGACCAGTTTCTGTAAGTAGTTAATTGGCCATACATTTCTAACTGTAAAGATGAAAATCTATACTGGTATTATGGAACATCAATCGGCGATTATTTAACGAAAAAAGAAATATGTTTGTTATGAGCGATAATAAAGCTTAATTGGTTTAGTATTGATTAAGATTATTTTGAAACACTTCAAAGCAATAATTTATGAACAGATTTTCGATAAGTACTTTAATCTTTTTTATTTTATTTTTTCGTTTTTGTATAACTCGTAAAAACGATTTCTGCTAAAATGTCTGTGATACAAGATGAATGATTTAGCTACAGTATAAGTATTTTTATTGCTTGAATTAGTAAATAGTTAGTAAATATAAAAAATAACATCTGCCTAATAAATCGGTGTAGCTTCCTCGTTTTTTTTTATTTGATGAATGCACGGAAATATTTCACCTTGATTATAATTTTATTTGAAGAATCCAATTAAAGAACGTCTAATAAATCGCTTTATGTAAGTTTAAAACCTTATATAACTTCCTATTTTTATATGTTTACTGACGATAATATTTCACGGCCATTATTTTCTCAACGATAAGAATTTTTATTATTAAATGGAAATCGATGAAATTGATACCAGACATTTGTTCTTGTTTTCGTAAATTCTCCCTTCCTGCATTAAAACCCAACCCGGAAATCTCCAGGACACTTTACAGTTAATAGAGGAAGGATTATGACGAATTTCAGCTTTTTATTTATTTATTTGTTTATGTTCGGAGTCACAGGCGGATTTACGGGGGGGGGGGGCTTTCGGGCTGAAGCCCCTCCCAGAATGGTAAAATGTAACCATGTTTTATGGTAAAAAATATAAAAAAATTATGTCTTAAAGTATTATTGCTCGTTTAATTACATTTAGTAGGGCTTCAAGAATCACTTAAACACCATTTTATATGGGTAGTTAGTATCTTTCTGTTTTTCCAACGTAATTATCGTTATATATATATGAAAAAAAAAAGCTTCCGGGCTGAAGCCTCCCCCCCAAAAATTAAATCCTGGATCCGCTAGTGTTCGGAGTGATGTCTAAATTTACAGTAATTTGAGGTAAATTTCAAATTAGCGTCCAAACATGAAGGGATTGACTTGAGTTAGTTTGTTGGTCACTGAGGTTCAGTATTTGGCTTAATTTCGTCATAATCGGCCTTTTATTGAAGTTGAATAGTCAGAGAATACCAAAACATAAAAAATATTTAAACATAATTGGTCTTAGTAATAAAAAGCACAAATAAAATCAAATTGTTCAAACTAAAGTTGAAAATCAAACATCGTTTGTAAATAAATGGCCTACAATAACGAAAAATCTTGGAAATAAAACATCTGTAGAATACATTCTTCTTTCTAAAACACTGATTAATTTTATAATATTCAAAGCGGTTACATAGAAAATTATTAATCGGCAGAAAAGCGGTACTGTCGTAGACGCCTGAGGTCGTAACGCCTCTGTTATATCATCCAGACATTGTTCTTGTTTTCGCAAATTCCCTTAAACTTTGGGTCAAATCGATTGAACCATTTTTGAAATATTATTGAAGTATCGAAGAAAATAAGTTTACGCTATAGTAGATAATGAACTTCGTTAATACGGACGTAGATAATTTTTTTTTTAATTCCTAACTGTTCAGTAACTTTGAGCTTCATCGAAAAAGCCATTTTAAATTTATAACAGTATCATAATGATGAAATATAATGAAATTTATTTGGGACAATTTAGGTAAAAATTGATATGGGACCATTTAGGTACAAACCTCAACAATTACTCAAAATTTGATCAAAATTGGATTATGGGTAGATTTACATTTTTTATAATTGTGAAAGATTTTTTTATAATTCATTCGTTTATCCTATATTCAATTTAATATTTAATAAAGAGAAGAATAGTTGGGGTGTTCAGTCAAAAAGGAAGGCAAAAATAAATTATAATATTTATTTTTTACATATGCCGACGCATCGGCCTGAAGTTCAGGCCTTCATCAGGGCTAAGAAAATAACCAGATAACAGGGTATGAGAAACATAATTAATGATGGTAAAAAAGATAATAAAAAAAAATTATTAGAAAATTAAAATAGATAAATATAAAGTAAAATAAAGAATAAAGTAAAATAAAATATTTTTATTTTATTTTTTTATTTTTTATTATCTTTTTTACCATCATTAATTATGTTTCTCATACCCTGTTATCTGGTTATTTTCTTAGCCCTGATGAAGGCCTGAACTTCAGGTCGAAACGTCGGCATATGTAAAAAATAAATATTATAATCTATTTTTGCCTTCCTTTTTGACTGAACACCCCAACTATTCTTCTCTTCATTATCCACGACAGTCAACCAATTACCAATTATTAATATTTAATAGATTAAACGTATTAATTTTATTATTTAGTATTATCTAAAACATAAAATAAAATTAGAAGAAGAAGAAGAAACGTCTTTTTATTTATCAAAATTACATAATATAAATTAAAAAACAATACAAAATAATTTTTTTGGATTTAGAACCGAACGTGCTACATGGTCTGTTGACCATCACAGGAGTCTGTGTTTTATAACAAAATTATATTTCAATCTATTTACATCCAACTAATTAATAAGAAAATAAGAACAATTATATTTACAATGTAAAAGTTGTATAAATATTTTAATTACAAAAAGAGTGGTGCCAAAATTCTCAAATTTATTAATTGTTAAATTCTCTGGTGAGCATTATTCTATAGGAGAAAGCAGTCTTGCAGTAATTTACCATTACTATCCAATTGTTTCCATTTAATAAATCTATTACTTGATAAAATAAAATTATAAATATTATGAATAAATACTTGTGAGGATTATTATAAATAAATCCGTTTGAGTTCATTTAAATTGCTGTCATGAAATATAAATACTGGCGAT